GCACACCCGGGGCCGGGGCCAGCCATGTGCCCGAGGCTGGCACCTGCCGCACGCCCGGGGGCGGGGCCAGCCCAGATTGCTCTGCGGGCGCATGTAAAGGGCCCGGCAGGCGCCATGGTGCCCACGGGCACCGGGTTGGGGACCACGGCTATAGAGTTTAACAACGTAACCAAATTAGCTTGTAGATTCTAAGTCCCTTTCCAGTCTTAGGATATGTCTACACTGCACTCCTCTTTTGAGAGAGGAACGCAAATACAGAGGAACGAAATTGCAAATGAAGCGCAGATTTAAATTTCCCACGCTTCATTTGCATAATTGCGTTCGGGCGCTATTTCGAAATAGCATTTCTTTTTTCAAAATAGGGTATCTAGACGCAGTTAATTTGAAAGAAAATCCTTCTTTCGAAATTACCTTTAACCTTCATTTTATAAGAAGGGTAATTTTGAAAGAAGGGTTTTCTTTCTAAACAACCACGTCTAGACAGCGTTTCTTTTTTCAAAATAGGGTATTTCGAAATAGCGCCCGGACGCGATTATGCAAATGAAGCATAGGAAATCCAAATCCTCACTTCATTTGCAATTTCGTTCCTCTCTGGAAAGAGGAGTGCAGTGCAGACATACCCTAAGTGCCATACGTTATGTACGCAGGCGGGCTCAGCGCAGCTCGAGAGCAGAGCCGTACGATACTGCAGAGAACCGAGAGTTCGCGGGACACGGTCTTCAGCCTCACGCTCTGTCACAGGAGGAACCGTTCACTGCCTCACGTAAATGAGTGCAGCTACTTTTACCTGCATCTGCATAGGGCGCAGAAGACTAGCATCAGAGCGAGGGTCTGAAAGCGATCTGCATGGCCTAGTCTTCCTCAGAGGAAAGCCCTGCTGGGAGGTGGCTTGTCCGCTAGAGCCTTGGGCCTGATCCTACATCTCTAGCCTGCTGTGCTGTGAGCCAGAAGACTTGCACACCCCAGACAAGGCACGGCAAGACTGTCAGACTCCCCAGCGAAGCTGCACTGGGGGCAACCTTTGGGGATGGTTCCAGAGACTCGCACAAGCAGCAAACAGACCGCACCTGCTGGGGGCCCGCTCTGTGAGCCTGGAAAGTCGCGGCTCCCAACTTTTCTCTCCTCCATGCCTCTGTAGTTAACTGCTCAGGTCTGGCTGAGAGAGGGATGTCTGGGTGGGCTGGGGGAGTGTCTGATGCTTGGGGACTGGCAGAACGGGTGCTCAGTAGCCCCTCCCTCAGTTACACCAGTTCCCTGTGGCCGGAGTAGGCTGGCATGGGGCAGCTGGCACAGCCCATGGCATCCCATGCGCTCTGCTGCCCAGGCAGTGACTTGGCCGCGGTGTCATGCCAGAGAGCAGGGTAGCGCCCTGGTATCTTACAGATGGAGCTGTGGTCTCGGGGCTAGGCAGAGCCCTCTCCCCCACTGGGGGCAACAGCCCCCCGGAAGCACGGGTCCCTACCTGAGACACGTGGGCTTGGAGCCCCTGCTGGCTCACACTCCCGCTGGGGACAGCCTCGCTGCTTGGCCTCCTCCTGCAGGTCATACGCTGGCTGTTCAGCTCCAGGATGCGTGTGGTGATGCCCTTGACGTGCAGCAGGTCATCCAGGGAACTGAAGCCCTTGAGCTCCTGCCAAGAAACAAGCAGGACTCAGCGAGGGCTGGGACCTCCCCGCACCTCTCCACCTGGGGCTCTCTGCGGCCCCTTCCCAGCTCCAGGCGCCTCTCTGGGCTATGTCTACACAACGAGTTTTTTCGGCAAAAAATATGCTAATGAGGGACTCGTTTGCATGAAGCACGATCTCATTTGCATATTTTCTGCCCATCGGTTTTTGCGCAAAAACAAGCAGTGGGGATGTTTCCTTTTTGCAAACCCCCCCTTTTCCGCAAGATCCTTATGCTCCGAGGTTAACGATCTTGCGGAAAAAGGGTTTTTTGTGCAAAAAGAAAACATCCACACTGTTTGTTTTTGCACAAAAACGGATTGGCAGAAAATATGCAAATGAGATCGCGACTCATGCAAATGAGTCCCTCATTAGCATATTTTTTGCTGGCCTCCTGCCATTGACATGCTTGCAGTCGCAGCTCAGCTCACACCTTGCCATCCATGGCCCAGCCCCCTCCGCAGAGGCCGGCTGCCGTGCCCACCGGCTGCATGCACCTCTGGGGTACCAGGAGCTGGGACTGTGCTAGGGATGGGAGAACACAAGGGACTGAAACACCTGGGAAGAGGAATTTTGACGGCTACCTCACAGCCCCTGAACCACACACCAGGCCTTCCACCCTTGTCTCTGCCTTTCGGGGACAGGAACCAACTCCCCAAGCCCCCAGAACTGGGGCCCACACTGACCCAGCTGGGTGCAAGCTCCCTTCCTCTGCCCTGCCCAAGCTGAGCGGAGCAGGAGGGTTTCCAAATTGGATCCAGCAGCAGAGGGGGAGAGACCCCACGGGATGGGGGAAAAGGGGTCTACTTCGAGGGCAGAAAGGGACCTCCCAGAGATGGGACACTCCCAGAATACAGGGAAAGCTCTAGGCAGATGGCAGCTGCGTGCCTAGACAGGGCAGACTAATCTACGCATCTGTAACGTCTCCCAAAGCCTCAATCTATCACCAGCCCCCGCCCCGCATGGGCTCAAGTGCCTTCACTGAGACAGGGAGAGGGAGATGGGCCCACGCACCGAGCTCAGGACACCCATGCCCCTCGACGGGCTCTTAAGGCAAGTAAGCTGTCATAGGGTAGGGGGAAGGGCCTCTCGTGGACTGGGAACTGGTCAAACGACAGGAGACAAAGGGTAGGAATAAACAATTCGTTTTCTGAGAGGAGAGAGGTAACGAGTGGGGTCCCCCAAGGGTCTGTCCGGGGACCATCCCAGTCAACTTATCTACACGTGTTCTGGAGAAAGAGGGAAAAAGCAGATGATCCCAAACTGCTCAAGGTAGTTCAGACCAAAGCAGCCCGTGCAGAGCTTCCCAATGGTCTTACCACACTCAGCGACTTGAGCCCCCTGGGGGAACGGATCAGTTCAGCCAGCCTTGTGCTGGCTGGGGGCACGTGCTGACTGGTCCCTGGTGACACCAGAATGAGGCATTTGCAGCTTGTTTCTCACCCTCATGCCATTGTCTCCAGAGTATCAGGCACTGCCTGGCTGAACTGATCAGTTCCCTCAGAGGACTCAAACTGAACAGGGCCTGCCTTCATCTCTGCCTGGAGCCAGCAGGGATCCGGCCCCGGGCTCCCCACGCTGACAGCCAGGCAGGCCCCCTCCCACTCACAGACTGCGCCAGGGTCGCTCAAACAGCCCGCACTGTCTGCCCTGCAAGGCCCCGCCAGTCAGGACGCACGGCCTAAGGATGTTAACTAACGAGTAACTGACTAGTCGAGTCGTCGAGAGAATTTCCATTGACGGTTCAACTAGTCGATAGGCACTTCCGCATTCCGCCTTTGAAATGCACAAGAGCCCCCGCTGGGGTGGAACTCTGCGTGCAGCCCGGGGCCAGTCCCGCCGACTCCGGGCTCCGCCAGGGCGCTTACCCCTTGAAATGCACAAGAGCCCCCGCTGGGGTGGAACTCTGCGTGCAGCCCGGGGCCAGTCCCGCCGACTCCGGGCTCCGCCAGGGCGCTTACCCCTTGAAATGCACAAGAGCCCCCGCTGGGGTGGAACTCTGCGTGCAGCCCGGGGCCAGTCCCGCCGACTCCGGGCTCCGCCAGGGCGCTTACCCCTTGAAATGCACAAGAGCCCCCGCTGGGGTGGAACTCTGCGTGCAGCCCGGGGCCAGTCCCGCCGACTCCGGGCTCCGCCAGGGCGCTTACCCCTTGAAATGCACAAGAGCCCCCGCTGGGGTGGAACTCTGCGTGCAGCCCGGGGCCAGTCCCGCCGACTCCGGGCTCCGCCAGGGCGCTTACCCCTTGAAATGCACAAGAGCCCCCGCTGGGGTGGAACTCTGCGTGCAGCCCGGGGCCAGTCCCGCCGACTCCGGGCTCCGCCAGGGCGCTTACCCCTTGAAATGCACAAGAGCCCCCGCTGGGGTGGAACTCTGCGTGCAGCCCGGGGCCAGTCCCGCCGACTCCGGGCTCCGCCAGGGCGCTTACCCCTTGAAATGCACAAGAGCCCCCGCTGGGGTGGAACCCTGGGGGCTCTTGTGCATTTCAAAGCAGAAGTGCCCGCGTGCAGCCTGGGGTCCCCGCTGATCCCAGGCTCCATGCTGCACTGCTGCTTTGAAATGCCACACAGCACCCGGGGTCAGCTGGGGACACAGCTGACCCTGGGCTCTGCGTGGCATTTCTGCAGAACTTGGGGTCAGCTAGGGACCCCCAGCTGATCCTGGGCTCTGTTCAGCATTTCAAAGTGGCAGCGCCGCACGGAGCCCAGCATTAGCTGGGGTCTCCACAGCTGACTCTGGGTTCCACGGAAATGCCACAGGGAGCCTGGGGTTAGCTAGGGAGTCCCCAGCTGATCCCAGGCTCTGTGCAGCACAGCCGCGCTGAAGTACCCCTCTCTCCCTCCCCACCTTTGCTTCTCACCCTCATGCCATTGTCTCCAGAGTATCAGGCATGCACCTCCTCAGGGGGGAGGGGAGGGGAGGGGAACTGACTAGTCGACTCGACTATCCAATAAACATTTGCTTATCAGATAGCTGACTAGTCCTTAACATCCTTAGCACAGCCTAGCCTAGCCCCATTACTGCCACTCAGAGAGGGGGTCGGCCAGGACCTACAGAGCTCTGACTCAGGGCTGCAGGCCCTCACCTCTGCACTGCTCACCCACTGTGTACTTGGCCTGCAGGGACTTCCCACCCATCAGGCCACTAGCCAAGTTGAGCTGTGCTAAGGGAACTCCTCAGCTAGCAGCCGAGACTCTACAGCTCAGGGCCAAACTCCACCTGTCTTTGGGGTTGCCAACCCGCTATGCCCCACAGGGCTTTGGAGCGGAGCTCGGAGCTGAAGCACAGAGAAGTGGAGCTGCAGGTTTTTGCCTGGAGCTGGAGCGGAGCCAGAGCACAGAAAATCTTGACTGCTCCACGGCTCCAGTTTTGTTTTTTTTCATTTTCAATCCAAAATGAATGATATTTTAGCAAGAAAGTCCTAAATGTGCCAAAGTTTCAGATTGTATAACAATTGATATTAACATCTACTTTACCACTTTACATAGTATGTCACAGTTATTCTCACGTCGGCCGAAATCAAGATTTAAAGTACAGATACAAAATTACAAAGTTTTTTGGAGATATGTTTTATTAAAGAATCAGATAATTATCAGACATCCGGCAGACTGCAGACTGCTCCCACTCTTGTGCCGAGGTTAGGCGAGTAGGTACTCGTGTAGATTAGTATGTGTTTATTTTCAACCTTGTAACATGTAGCCTCGTTACTTCCCAATAATTAATGTTGTAGAACAGTGACAGCATGTACTAACGTTACGGCACATACCAAATTTCATTGATATATCTATATTAAAGTGTTTTTGAGATATTAATTAAAAACTTGGAAAATATTTTCAATATTTTTACCGCAAAATTTCATAAGAAAAACTAACTTGCAATTTATAAATAAAAATGTACATTAATTATGTACATTAAAATACTTTACTTCATTAAAACTGCAAGAAACATGTTACAATATTAAAATATACTTTAATAATAATTTTGTGTAAAAAGAAAATGTGATCATTTTTGTCCAGAAAATCCAAAATAAATTTGAAGTACCTTAAGTGGTTAAGATATCACAAGCAGGTACATTATAAAAATTTTTTAATGCTTTTGTTCATTGCTTTTCGAAGATCATAACAAGAAACATTTGGATGCGGTAGCAGCACAAGAAGATTTGGCCATGGCTGTAACAAAAAAATCAGATCTGCCCCCCATGACTGATAGCTGATTTATGACATCTTTACTTTTGAATTTGAAAATTTGGGCTTTTGGGAAAAGCAAAGAAGAAATCAGCAACATGCAAGGTGGAAAAGGAAGAGAATGGCAAGCTCAAACCATGTAGCTTCAAGACAAGTGAAGCAAGTGCCGGTTACAAAAAAGGACCAGGAAGATGAGTTAAAACAAAAAGTTGACGTGGCTAAACATCCATCTGGCTCTTTGAAAACTCCTGGAGAAAAATTTTTTTGCGGAGCTTCATCTGAAAAGAAACCCAAAATTGAGCAAACAAAACTTGACTCATATTTGAAGTCCTCAAATGTTACAGTCATCATGGATGCCAATACTTTCCGTGAAGGGCTGATCGAAATGTTTTGCTTGAGTTCAACACCGCTCACTACCTTCAGGCTAAAAAACAAAGGATTCCAAAAAATTGCAGGCGAAATGGGTCGGCAGCTTGGCATTTCAATGGGGCACCATGTGGTTAGTTGTCAGCACAGCTGAATCTGGGCGCGAAGAGCTCAAAAAAAGCTTTGGAGCAAAAATTGTGCTACTTGAAAATGGATGCGGCAACCCGTGGAAACAGAAATTTCCTTGCAATCAATGCTCAGTACTACGAAGAAGGAAAAGATAAAGCTGTGGTAAAAACCTTGGACATAATCGACAGTGAAGGGCATCTCAATTCTGCCGACATGAAAGGTCAAGTAAAACCCACTTTAGAAAAATTTGGGATCAGTGAAATGCAAGTGCTGAGCATCTGCGTTGACAATGCAGCAAACATGATGTGTGCTGTCAAAAATTTCAGCGACGACAATGAAACCATTTCTACCGCTGAGAACAGGGATGTGGACAGAACTGAAGCTATTTTGCCTGATGAAGGAACTAAAGAAATGGATGAAATCAAACTCAACATGGATGCTGCTGCGCAATGGTTTAATGACCCTAGCCTCATACTTCCAACATGGCCTCATGAGGATGACTCAAAAGTCTCTGATGAGGTGTGGTATTCACGCTCTTCAGTTGGCAATCTGGGATGGACTGAACAAAGAACATGCGAAGAAATTACTGGCAAAAATTCGACAAGTCCTTGTCAAACTACAAATTCCAAGTATTCAGTGTTCTGCTTGATCTACATGGGGTAACTCAATCGTTGGATGCTGTGACTCGCTGGGGTTCAACATTTGCGATAATTGATTGGCTTCTCGTTTTTTAATCTTACCGTGAACAAGTGGCTGCTGCTGGAACAAGAGAACTCAAGTTAACAAAAGCTGAATGGGACAAAGTGAAGAACCTGTGAGACCTCTTGGCAAAGCCAAACCAAACAACTGTGAATCTTCAAACTGTCGATGTAACCCCGGGAGTTTTAATGAAGGAACGGTAAAAACTGTCAAAATTCTTACAAGAAAATTGCAGAAGGAATTCTATCCTCCATTCAGAAACGTGAAGAGAAGCTTTTTGACAATATTCATTTCCTTGCTGGAATTTATGTTGACCCACGGTATCAGATTCTTCTTACCTCAAGGGAAATACTAAAGGCAAAGAAAAGGCTCCTTGATATTGCTCGAGGACTCGAAAAACAAAATCTATTGCTACATTTGAATTCAGCGAAAGAAGTTGAAGAAAATGAAACACAACAAAAGGAGTCATCAACAATCGAATCTGCAGTTTCGGAAAGTTCACATCCTTCAGAAATAGAAGGCTGTTCTCAAACTTCCGTCTCCATTCTGAACTTGTTCGAGCGTCCATCCCTGAGATGTCTTCAACCATCACAGGGAAACGGAGACAATTCAAGCACCAATTCTTCAGAAGATGACGACTTCGAAATGGAATTGGATAAACAAGAAAGACACCGGCAAGTTTCTGCGATTCATAATTGTAATGAAGCATTATTCGAGAGAAACTTTTGGGAAGATTGTGAGGCGATGGAGTCTATTGGTAGGCTAAAAGTTAAGTCTGTTTTTGAGGCCATTCACAGCTACCCACACCGCATTCAGGCTGCCTGTAGAATTGCTTCGAGCATGCCAACAACTCAAGCTAGTGTAGAGCGCCTGTTTTCAGCTTTAAAGTTAATTTTAAATGATCTGCGGCAAGCTATGAAAGACGACTTGATTGCTGCAATAATTTTTTACAGATTGAATTATGAATGATTCTAGTTTGTATCATTATTGATGACATTTAAATTGTTTTAAAACCGAATACAAATAATGTTTTTTCAAAATTACAGTATGCGCTTTTTTATTTAGTTAAAAATTAATTTGAGTCGGAGTGCGGAGCGGAGTCAGAGCGTGGAGCGGAGTCGAAGCAGAGCAATTCAAAAATGTGATTGCTCCAAATCCCTGGTGCCCCGTGCTTTGGGACCAGAGATCCAGGGTCGGCAGGGCCTGAAACAGGAAGCGTCTCCACCAGAGGGACCACAGAGCCTGACTCTCTGATGTTTCTTGCAGCTAAGGAACATCTGATGGGGTCTCTTGGTAGCAGGGTCTGTCCCCACAGGAGTAGCTAGCCAGGATCCATTCAAGGACCCAACTAACACGGCCTCCTGCCTCTGGTGGCACAAGAGCCTAATGAGTGCGAGGCAGGCACAGGGTACGACGCCCCGGGAAAGCTCCCTGCCAGTGGAAAAGCGGCTAAAGCACGAAAGTTTGTGGCATTCCCTCAACTCAGCTCTCACTTGGCTGCAGGGCCTTTGGTGCCTTACAGCATCAGAGAGTGGGCCCTGGCACAGCGCCCCACCCCATGCTCCACTGTCCTGCCGCCGGTCTGTCAGCACACACAGCAGACTGTGCAGCTAGCCCAGTGGGAATGCTGCCTCTACAGCGTGTCTGCCCGGCTCCCCCGCACACCTGCAGTCTAGTGACAGGACTGTAGCCAGTGTGGTGTGCAGTGACCACAGCACTGGCCCCCAGGAGCTCTGCGGAAGGTCCTGGAGGAGGGGTAGAGCCAAGCAGGCAGGAGCATGAGCGCAGCAGGGACGAGCAGGCCTTGCATCAAGAGAGACGCGGTCAGAACTGCACTGAGCCCCTGACAATTCCCAGCAGAGCGAAGCAGGGCACTGGCAGCCATCCTACTCTCTCAGCTCCTCACGGACACTTCTGCCGCTGGAGACACCAACCCTCCAGGGTCTCCGGCTCCCTTGCTTCACTGCCTGCTGCTGTCGGTCCATCTGCTCCCAACCTCAGCAGCAGTATCCTTACATCGTATTGGCTTTCCCTCCCTTGCTGCTCACGCCAGTGCTTTCGCCCACCTCATAGACACAGGGCCTGGGGAAGAGCAAAGGGACAGGCCTTCCACAGCTCCCAGGGATTGGCCGAGATGCACAAGGGACTAGATGACTGCTCAGGGGATGAACATGTAGCAGGAAGGGGAGCTGTGTCCACACAGGACATTTTTACCAGATGTATCCATGCAGTGGATCAAGTTATAGCAGCATGAACACCCAAGGGACACTCTCACTCCAGTACAAAGGTGGCTTTATTCGGTTTACCTTGAATCCCTTTCCCTGGGACAAAATCGAAGTCGAAAGAATGCTTCCATAGAGGACAGACCAGTGTAATGGAATAGTTTAAACCTGCCCCCAGCTTATCTACAGAGGGTGCCATAGAATCTCTATGTCCAGCGACTCCAGGCTTTGCTAAGAAGACTACAGGAATAGAAATAACCTGCCAATCACCAAACCAGGATGGGGACAGAGACTGAAATGCTCAGGGAGATTAGAAAGGCCACAAATATACAAAATTCCACCAGTCCTCATACTGACTGGGTACACGGCATCTCAAGGCAGGACGCAGAAAGAAAGTTTCTTGGCACTTCAAACGACTGCTTTTTGGAGCATCTAATACTGGAACCCATATGGGGAGGGGCAATTCCTGATTTAGTT